TAAAATTAAAAAAAGATACAGAATAAATTAAATCAAGACTAAAGTTAATCTTATATATTGAGAGATAAATAAACATTAGACAAAGATAAAAAGTAAATTAAATCGAAAGTAATTTATTTGTAGAAATAAACATTAATCAATACAAAAAGTAATTCAAACAGAGTTAATCTATACTGATAGATAAATGGGTCTAATTATTACAAATATGACAATTTGTAAATACTACCTGCTGTAGCCAGTACATTCACTAAGAACGAAGTCATGTTGTAAGAGAACCTTGTGCAGAATGTGGCAGGCTAAAATTTAGATGTCTTTTCTGTCAATCGTTCGAGCGTTTACACTTAAAAAAAGCACAATTCCGAAATTGTTTCAGATCTTCTTCTTCTTATTATTATTCCCTTGCTTGGTTTTCTGAACCAAAAAAAAGGATCATCAATATTATGCGGTGAATTTGAATCATATGCCAAGTCTACAATGAATCGGAAATCTTAAGTCTGATCTACAATTGCGTAAACGTAGTTGTAGTTGTAAGAATTAACCAATCACACTTGAATATGAAAAGAATATCCGATTGTGATTAATGAATTGTTACAACTATGGCTACTTACAACTACGTTTATACAATTATAGATCGAGCTTTGTGGGCCTTCTAATAAGCCATTAATCATAAATCAGAGGTCAGAAGTTAAAAACTGACGACTGTGATTAATCAATTTTTAGAAGGCTCATTAATTAGTTTTAACCTAAATAAGTGACTACGATTTTTTCCATCTACTAGTTGTTAATTGTATAGAGAGTCGTTTAGCTCGATTAATAAAGAAAGGAATAAAGTCAAATTTGATCAGTCTTAAGAAAATCGATAGTCTTAATCATACGAATTGGCTGTTTGATCAATTTCACCGATTCGCCAATTTTAAAGGATCCTCTACATAGAAGTCGTGAATGGTTGTGGAGTCTTAAGGCGTAGGAACCAATCACAATTAAATATAAGGAGAATACTCGATTAAAATTGTCAGTTTCTTGCGACTTAAGACTCCATGATCATTTATGATCTTCTATGTAAAGAACCCTTTAGAATTACCGACTACTGACTCATTGTAGACCCGGCAATAGACCCGGTTATAATAACCTCTGTGAGGGCTCTTAGAGGCTTCGTTTTTGCTCTATCACAATCTTTTAGGTTGACGTCCCCAGAGTCACCTTCTCTCGCAGCTATGAGAGTCGGGACTCCTCACATCAACTTCGTTCAGAAGTACAAATCGTTACAGTAATTCTCAATTGTCCCAGATCGACGATTATAACCTTAATTGGCCGTACTATAGTTTATAGGAAATTTCGAAAGTCAGTTTCCAATCTTATCCTTGGCGATGTTCGACTAGAAGCGAAGCTGCGAGGATCAACTCAATAAAATTAAAGCATTTGATATATATGACGGAATAGTTGTCTTTAATCGAATCAGTATCTGTCGATTACATGCGGTTACGTTTCACATTTTGCAAATATATGTTATAGCTGAGTTAGCTCATGTCATTCGCGTGCCAGGCATTTTCAGTGGTAAAAGAGAACGAGTGATAAAAGAGAGGCGTTACGTCCGAATTTTAATTACATCATGTCAACCAAATCGTCAAAAAGATTTTTAAAATTATTATAAATCATTATAAATTTGAGTTAAATGTTATATTTAAGTGCAACACAGATCATGGGATATAATACTTTCCCACAAGAGATACAAATTGACACAGAGTTATCTTGCCCTTGTTTGATAATCAATAAGAAACAAAGACAGAATGATTCATGTCATTTGTGCCTCTGCTGGAAAGCATCTTCATTGTCATCCTTGTTTAACATTAAAAAAAAACAAGAATGTAATGATACATCGTGTTATCTGTGTTGTTTATTGGAAGACATATAAAGATATTTGCAGATAATTGCTAATATATAACAATTCAACTGCTATTAGTAATTTACTACTGATAAGAAATTTGTTCGAAAATTATATAGGAGTGCGTTCCAAAAATTTGACTCTGTCAACTCCGAGTATCCTTTATCTTTATTCAACATTTAATGACCAACAAGCTTAAAATATTATAATAAAATCGAGTTGAATTTTGGAACGCAATTCAGCAGAAAAACATGCATCGCGTATCGCCTTATCTCTTTGTTATAAAATTCTTGAATATGATTTATATTTAGATCCAGTGAGGAACTAAGAGCAAGACTAATCATATTAAAGAATTTTATAACAGTTGCAAAGCTGCTTTTTCTGCTGAACGCAATTTTTAATCATATGATCAATACGATTGGTCAGTTCTTTCTCCATCCGAGATCTTGGACAGATTTTTAGAAATGTGAACAAGGCTTTAAAACACTGTGAACGACAAATGGAACGTATTCTTGGAATGAAATCATTTCGTTCTAGTATGTCGAATATTGAATAAGGACAAATAATGTTCATGAGTGTTGTGAGCGCCAAGTAAAACGCACTCTAGAAAAGTTTGAAAGAGTAGCTGCGGTTTGATCAATCGGTGACCGAGTGAACCTAACCTGTTACAATGTTGATCCGCTTACCGACGAACTGGACTCGCGAGTTCGCGTCGATCGTCGCGTACGATCGTTCCCCGCGGCCGGGACTCGGCACATCCAGGAAGATCCGCAGGAAACGCGCCGAGAGGATCAGTGACGAGCGCGCCAGTGACGATTGAGATTCCAAATTGCCGTATTAACCTTATCATCGGCGGTGTCATTCATGTTGTGATGTAAACAGATACTGCAGTAACGAAAGTTTAATAACATGAGCAAGATCAGATTGGGATCAGAGTATATTCCGTTGACGGAGGATGACATGTCAAAGGCCCGCCTCATCGTGCCGTTCTCCAGAGTGGCATGGTTCACCGTGTTCCTGCCCTTCCTGGCGTTCGTCTTTTGCGTCGCCTGGTCAGTCCTTTATAACTTTGAACACTCCACTTCCACTCATTGTCAGGTACGTTTGTTAAGTCGCTAATTATTCGTGCGAGACAATCTCCTGATCTCATAAAGCGTTTATTGTACATAATGTGTCATTTTTTCCTTGTTTAATATTCAGTAAACAACAAGGATGCATCGTATGCATCATATACTTTACAGAATGCAGCCAATAACAGCTATCAAATAGCTGTTTTTTTTCAAGACTCGATTGCCGGGATATCTTGCGTAACTTTGAACGTAGCGTTTATGATAAGTTTCTGGAAGGAATGCGTCTCGTAAAGGAATTCAATTCATGAATCAGCAAAAATTCAGTTACATAACATAGCTTTTGAAATAAAGATTTGTATAAGAATGAAAAGTAATTTCATAAATTATATATTAATAATTTTTATTGAAGAGCAAAACAAGAGACATGAGTAGATATACAGTAAAATGAAAGAAAAATGCACAAAGCTATCTTGAAATCTGAGCCTATAATGAATTACAACTTTAAATAAAAAACGCAGAAAATTAAAAAAGTAGTAACATTTAAAAATAATTTACATGTAAAGAGCTGACAAAATAATAATAATGTAATAGTAACAAGCAGTAATAAGCAGATTATGTCTGCTTTTATCAATAAATTAATCTTAAGTTTAATGTACTTTTTCTAGTTCTAGAATTATAAAAAAATAAAGAATAAATTAAACAAGATTAATGTACATTAATAAAAATGGATATGTAAGTTATACAAACCTCATGAAAAGTAATCTTTTTTTCTTCTTGTAATTTCTAGGTGTACAATTTTTTACCATCTGTCTCAGCAGCCATAGGTCATTATAGACCTCAGAAAGATGTATGGAAGACTGCTATAGCATTGCAAGCGTTATTAAGAACTTTAGTATTTACACTGTATTATCGTTATTATAAGGAGCATGTTTATAAGTGGGCAGAACATCTAAGTAATATCGCGCTCATTATGTACGCCATTGAAAATACTTCTCTGGTGACACTGAGCTTTTGGACTTCCAACGAGAATTATGGTATGCGAATTGCTGCATACATTCTAAGATTTTATATAATTATGCATATGAATATTTAGTGTAGCATAATATAGTACAATTAATGCATTGCATTGCTTTTTTTACAGCATTCCATAGGATGTCTTTCATAACTTTTTTGATAACGTCATTTATATACATGTTCGTAGCGTATTATATTATGAAAAATTGCCTAAATATTGCAAAAGGCTCAAATGATGCTTCCTTAAAGTGGAAACGAAGATCAATGATGCTGAATGTGATATGTATAGTAATAGCATGCTACTTCTTTTATAGACATAATAAATATTGCGAACCCTTAGGTAAGATATTAACTGATATTTTTATTGTTATGTATAGCAATGTAGTTCTTGTTATCTTAGAATTTTAGAGAGTTGCTATATAATTTCAGTGTATTCAATGTTCGCTTTAAGCGAATATGGAGTTGTGCTTTCAAACATGGGATATCATCTAACTGCTGCATTGGACTTTGCTACCACACGTCTTATGATATCAGGAAACAAACTTAGAATTATCTAAAATATTTTAAATTACAGTTTTATCTGTGCGTATGTGATAACTATTACATATACTTCAATTTATACTTTTATTATATATTATTATACATTTTCTGAAATCTTTATGTATTATATCCCCGTACTAGAAAATAATTTATTAATTAATTTGTACAAAACTATGAATTACAGCTTTTAGATAGCATGAACTCATTACAGATATTAATGTCAGATATATTCGTTAGTATTTGTAGCAGCACATTTTTTTAAGGCACTTTAATTAATGCTAAAAAAGGTTCCATATATAAAATTTTGTACGTAATGATCCTTTTTGCTATTATCTCGTTACAAATTATTTCTTAAATATTTATTACTATAACAATTCATATATATTAATGTATATAAATCGATATAATGTACAAATATATATTTTTTGAAATAATAAATTGCTTACAAATACAAAAATTATATGACACATAAAAAATATCTGTATTTTCTTTGGGAACCTTCTTTTTAAATACTCATTCTGTTTCACATTTTACATTTGAGCGATTAGATAATTACATATATTGACTTGCATTAAAATTTGAAGTCGTGATCAAGTTTATCGGCGATAAATTTTGCTATCGCCATAGAACTAGTTGCAGCTGGTGACGGCGCGTTTCGGCAGTGCAACACCCTGCTTCCAATCACGCCGGTGCCTACATCGAAAACGAAATCATCGACTAATTTACCGTCTTTATCCATTGCTTGAGCTCTTACACCCGCCGGTCCTCTGTTAACAGTAATGAGAGAAAATTTTACGATATAGTTATAAAATGGATATAGCGCACAAAATACCTTTTTACATCTTTGTATGTAAGTTCAGGAATAAACTTCTGGAGATCTTTTACAGCTAAGGGATAAAAAATCGATTTTATTATCTCCTTGCAGCCTGGTAGAAAATACCGATAGCATAGTTTGTATAAACCAGGGAATTTTGCCAATTCTATGCAGTCTTTTATGTTTATGTCAAACCATCTAAAAGAGAAATCTTAATATCATGATGAAGTTTAGATCTTTCAAATACTTTATTATAATTATATTATTAATAGTATAAATCTAAATAATGGATATATTTCGATGCAAGATACTTGTAAAGAATATTGTTAATATAATATTATTTAATCTTGTAAATATAATATTGTTAATATAATATTGTTAATAATAATACCTATAGCCTTCTCTAGAGAACGCAAGAACAGCGTTGGGACCCAACCAGACTTCACCGTTAACCCTAGGGGTAAAGTGCACGCCCAGGAACGGCAATCTGGGATCAGGCACCGGATACACATTGGTCGTGCAGAGATGTCGTTTGTTCTCATTTAACAGAAGATACTCGCCACGAAATGGTACTATTCGCGGATTTACATCGCAGCCCGTCATCACCGCTAATCGATCTGCATGTAGACCACCGCACGTCAGCACATATTTCGTTGGTATGCACTTTAAAAGAAAAATTGCTAGAATATTAGATTATTAACGTGACAATAAATGCAATAAGATAAGGCTTATGGAAGAAAATCTTACTCGGTTTTTCGATTGAACGGATATACAAGATAATTGACTGCTCCCTTTCGATTCCGTCAACTCCGCAAATCCGATTACTTCACAATTGAAAAAGATTTCGCCTCCCATTTTCCGAAAGTCTTCGGCAAAGGATTTACACACGACCGCCCAATCCACTATACCGGTCCACGGTGACCATAAAGCCTTTTCTCCCTAGAAACGAGAAAATTCAATTATTCGTGTTTATTTATATATTTATGTCTGATGTCCTAAAACTATATTTTTTTATACAGTTATAAATTCTTCATTGTTTAACATACTAAAAATAAAATAAAAATATAAAATACAAGGATGAGTTAAATTTCTATTAAAAAAAAAAAGCTTTATTTTTGTATTTGAAAGAATATATATATGTGTGATTAAAACTTGGAAGTAAATTTATAACAATAAGACATTAATTAAATTATTTTTTTATGCAATTTTTATATTTTATATTTAACACAATTATTATTTTTGCATTATACCTTGCATTTGGGTTCATATTTTGAAATGCAATCTTTTTCAACAATTTGTAAATCGGGCACTTTGTTTTTCGTTCCTCTATCGAAGAGCTCGTCTATTCTCTTGATTTGAGCCGGATCGTGGGCGACAATCAGCTTGCCAATTTTCTTATGAGGTATGTTGTTTTTGCAGAAATACTCGTACGACAGTTTCAAACCTTCTACGCAAAGTTTTGCCTATAATGTTAAATTATGAATGTTTTAATATTTTTCTGGGAATATTGTGAGAATAATCAGTATTTGATTAATTTTCTGTTTTACACAAGTTAATTAAAATTGTTTTTATTCATAGAGATTGAATATGAAATATATTATTTCTTGTAACGATAATAGAAGGGAAACCTACCCGTATTATATAGCAATAAAGATTAATAATTTTTTCTGTCAATCTTATCACAGGTCCAGCTATTAAAATAACTGCATGCAAGAAGTTATATGTTTATCTCTAAATTCACCTTCATGCTTCCAGGAGTGTAATACATGCCAGCATGCACCACGCCACTGTTATGACCCGTTTGATGCATAGCTAGGGCATTCTCCTTTTCCACAATGGCTATTTTCATGTTCGGATGCCGCATAATTATCTCGCGGGCGGTTGCGCAGCCGATGATGCCACCACCCACGATCACCAGGTCGTACGAGGAACATGTGCTGAAAATTCTGTACATCTGAATCGTTCCTTCTTGTACAAGGAAAACAACGGTTTCAAGCGAAATATCAGATTTGCTTCAATGCCAAATTTGAATTTTTTTTAATGCAAAGGATCCCACATACAAAATCATGGGTTTGTTGATTTAGTGGTTTAAACTAATATGTACATATTTTAGATTTTTTTACTCATAAAAATTTAAGTTTATTTAGGTAAAATCATAAAAAAAATAGACAGATTTAATTGTAGCATCATTTGAATGTGTTGAGTCTAATTGGACTAAAAAGTATCTATCTATTGTATTAAACTATTTAATTTTTTTTGTGTGTAACTGTACTTTAATTCATTTAATTTATTTCATGCATGGAATAATGAATTGACTGATGTAAAGAAAACACATAGTTGCTTTTCAAAAAATTATGCAATGTACATACTTCTGAATTACAAATTTTTTCTTAAAATAATTATGTGTTTTTCTTACACCAATTAACTCTCATTATTTTGTGCATAACAATATTAAAGTGCAATTACTAAAAGATAATATTAGTAGAAAAAGATATTATTTAGCTGATCCCAAAATAACAACTTTTAAGTGATGCTAGTTTCTCTCTCTTTGATGGTTTTGTCTAAGAAAACTTCTCAGTCAAAAACTAAAATAACATACTACAGTTAAATCAATTTCATTGAAATTTAAAAATCCACAGTTAAGTTTTGTGTGAGATCCTTTTAAAAATTGGTTCATGTTAATTATGAGCAATATCTTGCAAATTGTAACAGAAATAAATATTAAAAAAAAGATACCCAAACAGAACAATAAGTCTCAATAATGTTACAATAAAACTCGATTAAAAAATAATTTCTAATAAACATTTTGTAATCATCTCAACGTCATTTTGATGATTTTATGTTCTGTTTGGGTACAGTCAGTAATTCAAAGAATATTCTTAGCAAACATTACGGGAAATTTTACATAACACATAGAATTTCTACACACGGGAAAATACAGGGGGGCGGGGATGTAATCCATGTACATACATGCCCGTCAAACTTTCTCCGTGTTAAGTAACAAGGCTGTAGCTTCACGAAGTACGTGAGATGTTTATTAATCCACGGCTAAAGAGCTTATTATCAGACGTTTGCTGGAGGTTTGGACAAGAACTTAACAGTTCTAGGCTGGATTAAATGACGCTCATTATTAAACGCTGTCATTCCGCAGGACTTAAGGAATGGCAGTAAGCTATTCGGGATTTCACGGTGTAAACTCTACAAAGAGATCGATACCTTGTCGTAGACTGATGACGACATATATAATTCAGCTGCAGTGCAGCTCTCCTGGTCAGAGACGTTATCACGTTCGTTCCCATTATGTCGGATTCGTAGTCACCTCAGATTTGGACCGTACGCTTTCTACACAGAACTGTCACTAAGATATCATTCAGATAGAAATTGAACAATTAGTTTTTTTATTCATATTAACTGCGTGTTTAAAATGCACGTCATTTTTATCTCGATGACTAACATCCAATTTCACGATCTCTCTTTTTTTTCTCGTTTTTTTTCTCACGATAATTTGTCGATAGTCCAGTTAAATCAAAATTTCCGAACAATCCGCAAAAGAATTAAAATTGCATAGTCATATTTTATAAAACAGTATTATAAAATACAGAGTTACACTAAAAAAAAAAGAGATGTATCAATAACATTATTTTTTTTTAATTGAAAATAATCTTGTTGAATTAACAACAGTATTAATGAAACAAATAAAATTTTATTAAACCAAACATGACACATTTTTTTTTTGTTTAATGTTATTATAGTGTGAATTAAAATTATTTTCAATTAAAATAATGCTGTTAATATAACATAACTTTTTTCAGTGTAAAAAACAATTTTTATTATTTCTAAATGATACATTTAAAAAATAATTAAATGATACACGACAGAATCTTTAAATTACTTTTTCTTTCTTCTATTTTTTTAACTTCCGCTGTTCATCAATCGCGAAAATCGATAAAGCCGTATGAATATGCATCGTAAAGCAACAATTATACATTATAAAAATGTTTTTGGAATGAGTTTCTTACTAAAATGTACTAAAATGTACTCCAAGAGACACCCGATATAAAAAAAAAGATTCTCAAATTCTTTCCTATCCTTCTCTTCACAAATTATAACTTTAATCATTCACAGATCGATCACATAAATAAATTAATGTAATGTGCATTGTGCGGCAATAACTTAATATATGCATCACATATTTAAAATACTTAAGAATTCTAATTTTAAAGCGAGTTTCTATCCGAAATAATATTTAAGCCTGTTCTACAATGTGCTTTTTGTTTCCTGTTTCTTGCCTTTTGTTATTTTTTACATCTTGTCTTTTTGCTTCTTATCGGTTTTTTTGTTTTATATCGCCTGAGATAAAAGTTAACGAACTTCGAAAGAAACAAAAAATACAATTGTTAATAAAACGATTGGAAAGGAGAAAAAAGTAAAAGGTAAAAAGCAAAAAAACAGAAAATAAAAAGCACATTGTAGAATAACTATTTTACTCCAAGAAACATTTCACACAAAGAAAAGTTTCCGAATTATTTCTTCTTTTCACGAACTACTTTATTGAGCCACACGTGAATTACGCGAATCAATTGCGTAACGCAAACGCAACAGTACGTATTTGTAACGATCGCAGCATCGCAGCTGATAATACGCACTGCAAAGTAAGAGTCTAAGGCTCGGTTACACATCAATTACTTTGATTTTAAGCAAGCCAGCCTCTCGTTTTAAAGCGAAAGAGAGAGAGAGAGAGAGAGAGAGAGAGAGAGAGAGAGAGAGAGAGAGAGAGACAGAGAGACAGAGAGAGTTTTAAGCCTTGCTTAAAGTTAAAGTAACGTTGGTATAATCGGGCCTAAAAGGCTGTTTTCTTTTCCCTCCTAAAAGAAAAGCGAATTAAATTAAACTCACATTCACAGATAATGCATTATCAGTGCGTTATCACGAACATATCGGAAAAAGAGACGAAAAGGTACAGCCACAATAGAAAGAATAAGGAACTAGGAATAAAGAATAAAGATTTCAACCTCAGAAATCGGATGCATCGGAATATAAGGTTTCTGATAAGTTGATTTCGTTATTCCTTATTCCTAATTCCTTCTATTGTGGCTGCATCATTAATCAGTGAATATTCATCAGACACATTCGCAATATTCGCATGTTATGTCAAATGTAAGGAGCTCCGCACAATAAAAGGAATAGGGAATAGAGAGAACAGAGAATAAAATTTCAACCTATCAGAAACTGTGTATTTCACAATACATGATTTCTGATAGGTTGAAATTCTTATTCTCTGTTCTCTGCGGGCCCTTTCAGAGCATAACGCGAAGTTATCATAAGGATCATCATCGAGACACTATCTGTTATCACGCACTTCGAACGATGCAAAATCGCGCGATGGATGCACCTCGTAACACGTCTCCGTGTTCCCATATCACGTGTTGTCACGAGCAGCTATGAATGAACGATACCTATTTTTCATGCTGACAACAAGCTAGTCCAGTGACGGCGACAGACTGAGGCTCCAGCAAAATCGATCAATAATTAATCGGCAATCAGTATTCTCGAAAAAGTTTATCATTCTCGTCGAGTCTCGCCACTCCGATTATTAAAAGTGCAATCATTTCGCGATTGATCCTTTAATCATGGATCGATTATTATTTTAGCTCCTCTTGTTATTTACATTTTACAAAATTGATAATTACTAATTATTTCATAATTATAATCGTTAATTATTATCCTATGCATCTCTCTCTCTCTCTCTCTCTCTCTCTCTCTCTCTCTCTCTGATATTTTATAAAACACAGAGATTAGAAGTAGATATATAGAAGTTTAAATAACACAAATATATGTTTCGATTAGTCTTTTCGAAGATGGAAAAGCATATTTCGCATTTATCGAATTAAAAATTTTTTAAATATTTTCTCGAATAAGGTTGTTTAGATTGAGCTCAATATTTTATCTAAAGCATTTGAAATAGACGAACCTGAGCTTTTGAAGTATTTTGATGGTTAGGTTCGATTCTTAAAGCCGATAAAACAGGTATCCAGTAAGTGGCGCCCTCGCGCGGCGATACAGTGGAACATTTCGATGCATTTGGCCAGTGACATTTTCAAACAGATTCCTGGTCGTCATTCGTGCCATATTTATGTTCGCATATTGTGAAAAATGAATATTTATCCGAATAAATAATGCGCGTTTCTCGTATCTTCATTGTATATTACGGACACGTAATTAAAGATAAATGATCAAGTTGGAGCTGAAGAGTATGTAAGTCTCTCAATTTCTCTCTGCGTTCTCTGCTGAGCTGTTTCTCTTCTACGCGTCTCTATTAATGTAGATTAACATTAATCTTGATCCACTTATTCTTCTTTTCTAGTTCAAGAAGAAGATGCAAAGCAAGTTGAACTGAGATTAAAATTAATCTAAATTGATAGAAACGGGTATATAACCTCTCTCCAATTGTTTTCTCTCTTTCTCCTCCCATCCCTCTCTCTCTTTATCAAACGAGATTATCCAACTGTATCTGCATACGATAGATAGAAGAAAATATGTAGTTGGAAGGAACTCTGACATACATTGAAAAATTATTTGATATTTGACTGTAATTGTATGGCGAAATAATTATAGCTATAATTGTAATTATATAAAAAAAATTATAATTGGCTTTGAAAGTGACTATAAATTACGTAATTAAATTATAGTTCAACCACAATACTATGAATTTACACGCGAAATAATAACTATGTTTATCAGAAAAAGCAGCTTGTAAAATTCTTTAAGGCTGGTTTGTTCCATTTTTTGATAAACTTCAGCTCACTGTTTTATTCTCTCGTCTCTTACTTTCTTATGCTTTTGTGGGTCTTCTACAATAAGCCATTAGTCCTAAATCAGAAGTTAAAAGTTAAAAATTGACGATTGTGATTGATCAATTTTTAGCTTCTGACTTCTGATTTATGACTAATGGTTTATTGTAAAAGGTCCATTACTCTTTTGTTTATGCAGTAGATAAATTATTACATAGTTCGTCCGAGGATGAAACAACCAGTCCTAATAATATTAGTTTTCACATTTAGGCTGGGTTGTTAGTTCCATCTTTAAATAAACTTCAGCTCATTATCCATCACACACAAAATGACATAAGCTGCATAACTTCAGCATAAAACTGCTGAACTAATGAGCATCTTATGGAAATCGATATAGCGTTTTTATGTTGGATTCTCAATTGTTCAACGGTTTTATGTTGATTATGCATTTATGTCATTTAAGAGCGATATTCATAGTCTGTTCTCATTTCAAAATTGTCTTAAGTAGTGTTTTAAGACGTTAATACGGCTTTCTGATTCGACTTCTTAAGACTGTACTTGAATTGCGATTTTGAATTGCGATTTTATAAGATCTGACTACGAATACCAGCCTTTTGTGTGTGATGGCCCTTATTCTGTTACTCTTTTATTCTTTTGTTTAGCTAATAGATAAATTATCACAGTTCCGAAGATAGAACAACCAATCTTTAAATTTGTGAGAAATTAAAGGTAAGAACTAATTAAACTAATTAAAGAATCTTATAACAGTTATAAAGCTGTTTCTATTAGACTCGGACAATTTTATTAACTTGAGATCAATAATATATTTTAAAATGAAAATTACAAAAGTGAGTAAATGTACTAGGCAATGAAAATATAAATAGCGCTTATTTTTATAGTTTTCACTTTGTTTTAAAATAACACAATCAACCTTTTGTTCTCGAATCTCGCCGCGATATGATAAATCAACTGTAGATTCTCAGAGGTAGCAGCTTTCAGACTGGCTCTTTTGATTCGCGATAAATGAAGGAAGTTGCAAAATTAGATATTTTAAGTGAAGAACCGATAATACTCACAATCGATGACTGACCATATGGACAAAGACGAGCCATTAGCGTATGCAATCGCCATTAATTTAATTTAAGTTCGAAATGCGTTAATTTCATATTACGACCATGAAAACTCAAAATAGGTGTCTGGCTTTCAACAGAACGCAATGATTGCGCGTCAGTTTACTGTCAAATAATCGTGGTCTTAAATAGAGTCGAGAATACAGACATTAGAAATGTCGCATACACGGCGTAAATAATCGAAGCCGCTGTGATTTCGAAACAGCTTTTTTTTTTCCAGGTGACAAATGACCGTGTCGGCGTCGTTTCCCTCAGCAAACAGCGCGCTTATACAGCCCCGTGGAAATTAATTAACACGCTAATAGCGTGTTAGTGCGACGACGATGTTTTCCTCCTTTGCACGCACTTTTCTTCATTGCATTCTGTGATATAGCCGTCAAACTGTCAAATAACATCTCTATAATATTAACGATGCTTTTTGAAATTATTAAGCAATATTAAGCGACATCCAGCTACGAGCTTCTCTCCACGATTTTCCATAGAGTTCCGTTAAGAAATTATTATTTTCTGATAATGCAGTATTTAAAATAAGTTGTGTTAGGAGATAAATAAATTCAAAAATATGAATGTAACCAGATTATTTGTGTTTATACAATCCAATTGGGCGCGTATTTTCATGATACTTAAATAAAATATGTAATAACAAATTAATAATATAAAATTGCTTAAAAATCGGAATCATTTATCACGTTCTCTGCTGCAACATTGACTGTCAGAGGCCCAAACTGATACATAAAAAACGGATAGAATTTTTAAAAGTTTGGATGTTTTCTATTTGATGACAAGCGTCGTTTTATCCTTGTTGACATTCAGAGAGTGACAAAGATAGACGACATTTGTATCATCAAATGGAAAGTACTCTTTATCTCTTGTTCTAACTTTTAGCATGATAGATTTTTATTTCTTAATAATCACTGA